TGTCGTTTGAACGTCGTCGTCCTCTTCATTGTCATTCTTTGATCCTCCAATCAGAATGTACTACAACAACTTGACGGTATGATGGATATGTTTGTGTGTCTGTGTGCGTGTTTGTCTGTGTGTGTCTGTGTGCGTGCGTGTATGTGTGTGTGTGTGTGTTTGTGGGTTGATTGTGTGGTACTTTATAGGAAAATTGATCAAATGAATGATTGACTGAATGGCTGACTATCTATTTGGATGGAGGAATAATGAATGAATGGTAGCTGTATGAATGAATGAATGAATAAATGAATTAGTTAATTAATGTATGAATGAATGAGTTAATGTATAAATGAATGAATGAATGAACGAAATAATAAAGGAATAAAGATTATAAACTACTATCACACAAAGTCGAAGGCTGCTAATAAGAAAATGAAGCCCCTCTGCTCTTACTGGGATATGAAGAGGTTAATAATAATAATAATAATAATAATAATAATAACAACAATAATAATATAATAATTATAATAACAACATAATCATAATAATGGTAATGATAGTAACACTGATGATAATTGTAACAATATTATTAACTTTATTATAATTATAATAATTATAACAATAATAATAATAATAATTATTATTATTATTTTTATTATTAAACAGCAATGGGTGGTCCCAGGTAGGCTGTCGGTTGAATAATTCAACGTGGAACGAGACTTTTTGCGAGTGTTCACACCTAACTAACTTCGCCCTACTAATGACTCCAATTGATGTTGAGATTGTGAGTGAATGAATGAATGATTGAATAAATGAATGAATGAATGAATCCATCCATCCATCCATCCATCCATCCATCCATCCATCCATCCATCCATCCATCTACCCATCAATTCCTTCATTCATTCATCTATCTATTCATCCATCCATCCATCCATTCATCCGTCCATCCATCCATTCATCCGTCCATCCATTCATTCATCCATCCATCCATCTACCCACCCACCCATACATCAACAGGATACATTAAATGCAACCATTCTCTCCATAATCTCATTTATCGGTTGCATCATTTCGATCGTCTGCATGGCACTGACCATCATCATCATCGCCGTTAGGTGGAGGACTCTGAAGAGGATGTCGGTTGACTGATTTTTTTTGAGTGAATGAGAGAATGAATGAGTGAATGAATGATTGGATGAATGATTGATGAATAGATGAGTAGATGAATGAGTGAGGGAATTAATGAGTGAAGGAATGTATAATTGAATGAGTGAGTGAGTGAGCGAGTGAATAATCCACAAATGAATGAGTTAATGAATGAGTAAATTACTAGATAAACAATAAATTGATGGCTATCAATCAACCATCTATCAATCAATCATTCAATCAATCATTCAATCAACCATCAATCAATCATTCATTTAATCAATCAACCATCTATCAATTAATCAACCATTTGTCAATCATTCAACCAATCAATCAACCATCTATCCATCGACCAATCAAAACGACAACCAGGCGAGATTTCAGACCGTACTATTTGAAAGTTCTGATTTGCTTGTGTGTGGCTCTTATCATCGCGAATGTCGTCTTCTTGGCCGGCGTTAATAGGACGGAAATTAAGGCTAGAATGGTTTTTGATTGGTTGGAGGAGTTGTTCAGACGTTTGTGATTGGTTGGAGATGTTGGTCGGATGCCCGTGATTGGTTGGATGATTAGGTTAGATAATTGTAATTAGCTGAAAAAATGTGTCAGATAGCTATGGCAACAAATGTAAATTGAACGTTTGATTGGTTGTTATCATCATCACCATCATAACACCATCATCATAACCATCATCATCACCGTCACCACCACTACAACCATCATCATTATCATCATCATAACCATCATCATCATAACCACCATCATCATAACCATCATCACTATCATCACCATCATTCCCACCATCATCATCATCATCGTCATCATCATAACCACCACCATCATCATCATCATCATAACCCACATCACCATCGTCATCAGGAAGCCTGTATAACAGTTGCAGTATTGTTGCATTACTTTTACCTGGTGGCATTCTTCCTGATGCTGGCAGAGGGGGTTGAGTTTATGAGCTTGTTCGTACGCGTTTACGAAGACAGCAAGGCCGAGAGGAACACCAACATCGCCATTAGTCTGGCTTGGGGCAAGTTATTATTATTATTATAATTATTATTGTTATATTTAAATTATTATTGTTATATTTTAATTATATTAAGAATCTTTTAATTCTTAATTTTAAAACCATTTTACTTCTATTAAATTTTAATTCATTAACAATTCTTTTTAACGTGTGATTTGTGATGAAAATGAAATGATGTTCCCATTAAAATTATTATTGTTATAGTTAAAATTATTATTGTTATAATTGAAATTATTATTGTTATTATTGTTGTTATTATTGTTGTTATTATTATCATCATTGTTGTTGTTGTTGTTGTTGTTGTTGTTGTTGTTGTTGTTGCTATATAGTCAGCAGAGCCGATTTGGAAATAGTACTCCAACATATCGCGATGCTAGACTAAGAGTAAACAAACTATTATTGGCATAATTATTATTATATAATAATGTTAATAATAATAATAATTATTTTTATTTATTATCATTATTATTGTTGTTTAGTAATTCCCGCCATAATTGTCGCCATCTCATTGGCTGTCACAAGAACAGTTGGATATGGGAATGATAAATCGTTAGTCGCAATACAAATTATTATTATTATTATCATTAATATTATTATTATTACTTTCAATAATAATTATAATAAAGTACTACTATTATCTCTAAAACTACTACTATTAATTCTACTACAACTGCAGCTACTACAACTGCAGCAACTACAACTACAGCTACTACTACTAATACCATTTGTTGCTGAAGTGCTGCTACTGCTACTACTACTACTACTATTACTATTACTACTCTACCACTGCTACTACTATCAATAATAATAATAATAATAATAATAATAATAATAATAATAATTACAGATGTTGGCTGTCGGTAGAGTCAGGTCTTATATGGGCATTTGTTGGTCCTGCTTTGTTTGTTATTGCTGTTGGTTTATTGTTATTATTTTTATCATTTCATTCATTCATTTATTCGTTCATTCGTTCATTCATTCATTCATTCATTCATCCATCCATTTATTCATTTATTCAATTATTCATCCATCCATCCATCCATTCATTCATTCATTCATTCATTCACCTTTCTTAGACTTTTAATAATTTTTACATAATCATGACAGATTAATCTTGTGCTTTTTGTGGCCATCATGTATAAGATATGCCATGAGAGTAGTTCTCGAGAACGAAAAAGCAAGTTTAAGTAAGGATTTTTATTCTTTTTTGTTGCAGTATTCATTCATTTTTACATTCGCTCATTCATTCATTCATTCATTCATTCATTCATTCATTCATTCATTCATTCATTCATTCATTCATTCATTCATTCATTCATTCATTCATTCATTCATTCATTCATTCATTCATTCATTCATTCATTCATTCATTCATTCATTCATTCATTCATTCATTCATTCATTCATTCATTCATTCATTCATTCATTCATTCATTCATTCATTCATTCATTCATTCATTCATTCATTCATTCATTCATTCATTCATTCATTCATTCATTCATTCATTCATTCATTCATTCATTCATTCATTCATTCATTCATTCATTCATTCATTCATTCATTCATTCATTCATTCATTCATTCATTCATTCATTCATTCATTCATTCATTCATTCATTCATTCATTCATTCATTCATTCATTCATTCATTCATTCATTCATTCATTCATTCATTCATTCATTCATTCATTCATTTATTCATTCATTCATTCATTTGTTCATTCACTCACTCATTCATTTATTCATTCATTCACTCACTCATTCATTTATTCCCTCAGTCAATCAATCATTCATTCATTCATTCACAGAGTTAAAATATTGAGTGTAGTCTTCATACTACCTCTACTCGGACTAACATGGATCTTTGGGGTTCTCTCCGTCAGCAAAGACCTTATAGCATTCCAGTACATATTCGCTATTGCCAACTCGTTACAGGTTTAGCTGTAATTATGAAATGAAATGGCGGTTATTCGATTCTGCGCAAATTTATATTATATAATTATTGTTATATTTATAATATAATTGTTATATTTAATTAATAATTAATTATATATGATTATTATGATTTATGCTATTATTAATGGCATAATTTTTAAATATTCAAGGGACTCTTCATATTCATAATTCATGGTCTTAGAACTCGAAGGGTTGGTGTCTTTTAATTCTGATTTTAATTTTTCGTTTTAATTTCTCGTATTAATAAAATAGAGCTTGACATCTTTTGCTTGAATTTTAATAGTGAAATAATTTAATATCATTATCATTGCAAAGTTTTACTTAATATATCATTCAAATAATAATTTATTTCAATTACAAAATGCACACGCACATACAAACACACGCACATACGAACACACGCACATACAAACAACGCACATACAAACACACGCACGTATAAACACACGCACACACACACGCACACATACTGTTTAATTCCAATGTAGGAGAAAACAAAATACGACATGAAAAACTCAAGCTCCAGTAATGGCAAAAAGGGCCACAACAACAAAAAAAGTAACGCCAGGCCACCGGCCAAATCCAACTTTCGTCAGGATAGATTGATGTCCCAATCGACCGCCACGTCTAGCTTATCCTCTGGACAGCCCAACTCATCTACCCCATCGACGAGTAGCGAATTCGGCGACTACGATTTAAGCCCGAATAACACTTATCCAAAGCCCCCACCTAGAAATAATTTCGACCCAACCATCCTCCAACAAACAAAATCACTTCCGATGCCACAGTCCCAGCCATCCTATCACGAAAATCGAGGTTACCTTCCGGATATTGCCGAAGAAAACGAGTCAATCAACGACGCAAAAAACAGCGTTCGAGGAGCTGCATTTGACGCCCTGGCGACCAACTACCGAATTGACGACGACGACGACGAGTCGGTCTCGTCGTCGTCCGCTGCTGACAGCGACAACCACCACAACATCGTAACGGCCATTGGAGACAATCAGATGAAATATCGCGTACTTAGGACTAGGGACATAAAAAAGATGAAAAATAATCAGCAGGAAATGATGGACGTAGGCAAGGTTGTTGCGCAACCGCCAAAGCCTAAAAAACCTGTCAGTAGACCGAGAGGCAGCAGTCACAGCAATCGACCGAAGTTGCAATTGCAGAGTAGCACCGATAGTCAAGTTGTTAAGAGACTAACCTCTTGTTAGTTTCATCATTTCATTTCTCTATAAATTTGCATAGAATGGTTTAGAACAAGTTTTTTTTCACCAACCTATATTACATGCACCCTACAGCTCTGAGTTAGAGATGAATTCGACAAAAAAAATTAGAAAGTGGTTGTCAAAAGATTTGAATGAACGCATTTTAGTCTCCGCCACAGTGAATACCATTCGTACACTAAATTTTTTTTCCTTCGAAAATTTCAATCAGAGTATATGAAATTGTGCTATGCTATGGAGTGTAGATTTAATTTTTTCTTCATATTTAACAAACTCAAGTTACTTCTAGATTACTACTAGATTACAGACACACACACACACACACACGCACACACACACACACACACATTCTCTAGTCTCAAAATAAACACAGTTTAGAATTAATGAAATTTCGAAACTAATTCAAATTTAAATAAAAATGCATACGTACGTAATCATATAACCTATCTATATACAATTATATTGAGTTATTAAACTCTGATTAAATTAATTTATCATATAACTAATTCTTAATTAAACTCAAATAATAATTCGTCTATAATTAATAACATTTATTTCTTTAACACAATTCTCCCTTCAATATTTTTTAAGAGGCAACTTCAACGACAACAAAAACAGGGCAACATACACAGTTGGACGGAGATTTCAATGCGATCGAATCCACTCACTGCAATAAAAGTGTCTGACACTTTACCGCTATACCATCGCGACGCCCGTCATATTTTAGCTTCTATTTTAACCAACGAATGCTTGTTTTTGTCATTACTTTGCATTTTGTTTTAAAAATACTCAATTAATTTTTAACTATCTTATCTTAAAATGTAATTACAATTTTCCACGATTTTAAATGAAATGCAGATCTTTGTAAACAACGTCTTCATTGTTATCTTTCGAAATCGAAATCACTTTTATTCAATAAAACAAAACAAAACATCTTTATATGTTTATATACCAAACAATTAATCCATTAATTAATCCATCAATCAATCATTCGATCAAACAAACAAACAAACAATCGATCGACCAATCAAATCTCATTTTTGAAGCGCAATTTCTGAAATGCAAATGTGCTATAACATCTTGGGTATTGTCATACTGCTCGCTCTTCACCGTTTCTACGACGGCTACCGAACGGACGACAGTTTGTTCTTGGGGGGACCTTTTCTGTTTCTGTAAACTCGCTCGCTCAACGTTAAATAACTTGAAATTGTTCATGTACATAAAATAATGAGATGATTCTAATTGGCGACTTAGTTGTGTTGAGTATTAGTGTTTAAAATGTTATAAAGTTCAATAATGGAAATCGAACGAGAAACGACTCACCCACTATTGTTAATATTATTTTTATTGTTTGATTGCAACTAAATATATTTTATTTTAAATATAATGTTGATTTAACGTTTTTAACTAAAGGAAATCTGGGAAACAAATTTATCTATCGAAAACTTAGCGCTATAAAAATAACACACTCAAACACACACACAAACACACACACACACACGTGAACACACAAACATAACTCAAAAGTAATAACAAGGTGTCATTTTTATTTATGGAGCGCCCAATAATTTTAATATTCTTTGTTTTGTTCAGGGCAATTCGCTCTCGACCACGTTTTGGCGGGAAGTTATCATTAATTTATCTATGCTTTTTAAATGGATGAATGAATGAGTGTATAAATGATTGAATGGATAAATGAATGAATGGATGAATAAACGAAAAACTGAATGTTTGAACTGAGGTATGTATAAAAGACTAATTTTTGATTTAGAAAATTTGTAACGTAAACTTTAAATGAACGCATGAATGAACGAACGAATGAATGAATGTACGAAAGATTGAATGAACGAACGAACGACTCTACGAATGAATGAATGGATGAATAAAATACGAATAGATGGACTGAATGAGGGAAAAATTTACTTCATGGCCATTCCAATAACCCCGTATATGACGCCCGTTATTAGTACGGGACCCGCCCCAAAGATCGCCATGAAACCCTGGCATATCACCATTGGCACTATTGCTAGTCTAAATTTCCAATGAATGAATAAATGACTGAATGAATGAATTAATTAATGGAATAAAACAATATTATTATTATTCAGCCAAAAATCAGTCCCTAGCCAAGTCAGCTAACGACGAACGTTATATTAATGATAGCTTTTTCTCCAGGCAAATTCTCAACCTTACTCAAAATGCGCTATATAAATGAACGTGTAATTATTATTATTTCATTATAATAATAAAAATAATTATTATTATTATTATTATTCAGCCAACTGACATTATATAAATGATAGCTTTTTCCACGCAAATTCTCTTCTCCGCAAAACTTATGAGGACAATGTCAGAAGTGACGAAGCGTGGAATTTCTAGGAACACTATTATGAAGGAACCTATGCTAAAATAATGGGGAGAATTCATTATTATTATTAAATAATATAATTTGTATTATTATAATTGTTTTATTGTTGTTGCTATTAATTTCATTTTTATAATTACTTCTTATATCATAGTATCAGTAGTCTATTTATATATATATATATATATATATATATATATATATATATATATCATCATTAACATTTATAATCATCATTTTTCATTTAATTATGATAAATATATTAAATGAATAAAATTGGAAAAGATAAATAAATAAATAAAAGAACACGGACATCATGACAACGCCAGCCATGATACAAAGGTAGGAGCCATGCAAGCAGACAACAATGCCGCAGCAAAAAAAACCTTTTTTGGGAGAATACAAATTTTCGTTTATCAATTTAATTTCTTTAGCAATGAATGATTTACTATTCTAGGCACTCTCAAACTAACAAATTTCACGGAAAACCATAAAAAAATGAATTAACTCTCTGTTATAAATTGTCTAGACAAGACACAACTGTTACTTTTTATTAATATAGCTATGATGATTAAATTAAAAAAATGCTACAAAGGCCGGATATAATCTGAATCATTTAAAAAGCCAGAAAATAATTTAAAACATGTCCCACATATGGTTGAGAGTAAAGCCAAAATTCTAACAGAAATGACGCAACCGAATATGGACCCCACGTTTTCAACGGGGATTTCAGAGGGCGGAGCGGTAATTATGAATGGCAGACCCATTTAATTATAATTTGATAATTATATTATAATTATTCAATAAATTATTGGCTAAAAAATCTGTTTTCATTTATGTTTCTGCTTGGTTTTATCTCCTTATTTATCTTTTCATTTAGTTAAAAAAAAAATTCGAACTAGGTAAACAAAGCAACGTCATTAGTGTTATCAAAGATCGAGTATCGATAGAATTATTTGTTTTATTTGTGTATTTTATTTTATTTTTTGTTGGCTTTTATTGAGTTTTTTTTTTCAAATTTTGAAAATTAAACAAGACGAGCTCGCTTTGCAAATCACAATCTATTGATTGCTTGTCCACGGATAAAATAAGGCTTTTCTAACAAAAAATGTGTCATTAAGCTACTAAAACTGTTAGCAAATTAGTTGTACCTATAGGCAAGTTTTTGGCGTTAAAGATATCATAAAATATAAAAACATTTATTTATTCATTCATATATTCATTCAATCAATCATTCATTTGTTAATTTATTAAAAACATAGAAATATCAAAAGTAATTAATTTGTATTCTAATCAGTTAATGCTACTAATAAAACCGATTTTGCTATTTGCTAACTATTTCCCTTCAAAATGGCAAGAAAAAAATATTCATTTCATCATTTATCAATTCGTCCGTCCGTTCATTTTTTTTACATCTCTCATTAGAATGTGATACATCACATGATACCCTTGTAGGTTTAACAAAAGTACATGGAGATTCATCCTACTATTCGTTCATCATTCATTTATTCAATCACTCATTCGTTCATTCAATCACTCATTTACTCATTCATTCATTCAATCACTCATTCAATCAATCATTCATTCTTCTAGCCATCCATCTACACATTCATCTACGTACTCACTCATTCGTTCATTCATCCATTCATATATATACTCGCTCATTCGTTCATTCATCCATTCATACCCTCCTTCATAACCTTCATCAAATCTTCGTAAAAGTATGAGACCCTAGTGAAAACAGAAAGGGCACACCCAATGATGCCCAACTTATCAAAAACGAAACTAACGATCCCAACTTGCGTCCATTGACTTCGGGAATTCCTACACACTAGAGGTCCCCCGCTATCACCCTGTATTTAAATTATTCAAATTATTTAGCGTAGTGGTTAAGGCGCCTGGCTCTGATGTCGTAGTGGCCCAGATCACATGCAGTGTGTGTTGGGTTCGTTTATTGGCTTGTATTTTTAAATGAACTGTGTGTTTGTCGTTTAATACCTCTTGGGAAAAAATGCCATAGTGAAAATTGTGAAAATAGCTATAATTATTTATGAAAATTATGATTTAAAATTATTATATTATAAAAATAATACTATAAGTTATAATTTTTGTCCTATACCTGGCAAAAATTGACGCCCTTGTATGATGGTACAGAGCCGCCGCAAAACTGCTTCTCATAAGAAACTTGCAAGTTAAATTTCTGTTCATTTTCGTGAGTTACATCCACGAAGCTGCTCCTACATTCCAGGTCAGTCATCACGTTCATCCGGCCTTCCATTAACAACTTACTCGTGGATCTAGTTGCCTCTAAGTTGGTTTGGTTGGTTGGTTGATTGGTTTTTTGGCTGGTTGGTTTGGTTGGTTGGTTGGTTGGTTGGTTTGGTTTGGTTTGGTTTGGTTAGGTTGGTTGGTTGGTTGGTTTGGTTGGCTGTGCTGGTTTGCCAGTTAGTTGGTTATTTATTTCTTTATAATAATCGTAAAAACATGAGATATCTTAGGATATAAGCAAAATAAAAACAGAAATTTAGAAAGAAATCTTTAAAACTTAATCCGGAAAAAACAAATGTTCAACCAGGGTCCGTGCGTCCCCATCCAGTGACCACACAAACGTCATACACCTCCAAAATTTTACGGTTAGAAATGCAAATCGGCCTAACTGACGAGTTGAAAGTAAGTTTCTCTGTCAATTTCAACAGAGCTAAGTCATTTTCGATAGTGACATCATTGTATTGAAAGTGTCTTATGGCTTCAACTTTAAGTTTCCTGACATCGGGATCCCTTTCCTTATTCGTCCCTACAATGATATCAACGTCACTGCTGTTCATCATTCCGGTATAAGTCCTGTTTGGAATTATTTGTGAAATAAATTTAATGTTTCAGTAGGTTTAATAAGTACGTTGCGATTGTAGTGCAATGGTTAAGGCGTCTGAGAGCCTGATGTCGTGGCGACTGGATTCGAACGCAAGAGATTTTCGCGTTCATCACGGCGTGTTTAAATGCGTTGTGTGTGTGTGTGTGTGTGTGTTGCTGAAAACTTTGTATCATTAATATAGTAGTAGCAGTAGCAGTAGCAGTAGTAATAGCAGTAGTATCACAATTCTGGCAAAAACCGAAAAACAAATTTTCTACCAAATGCAGTGCGCGGCGGTTAGGATCCACCGGTCCCCTACAATGGTACCCCCGCAAGAGTACAGCACCCCATTCTTGGTGGACAGAACCTGGACTTGCCAGGGCCAGGCAGATTTTTTGGCGATGTTGCCGTTGATGACGTAAGAATCTACCTTGTCGAATGAGCTGTCTCTCTTTCCACACCCCTCTGAATTTTTAAATTTTTTGGAAAAATTTTGGGGATTTTTTAGAATTGTTTAGGATTTTTTGAGGTTTTTGGGATTATTTTAATTTGGATTCAAATTATATAGGGCAGGGATAGGCAAACTTTTTGCTGTGAGGGTTTAACGGTAACTATTTCACCTTTAAAGGGCCGCATATGTACTTAAATAGCAAAATTTTTCGACCCGGGGGAGAATTTTTTAAGATAGATTTGTGGCCCTTTTTTGGTATAGCTTGTTTGCCCAACATTGAGTTAGGGTCAATTTTTAAATGGTCTGTAGTTAATTTTTTCAAGTTTATTGGACGTAGTATTAATTTAATAGACGTGAATTTTTTTTAATAAATGAATAGATTTTTTATCACTTTAAGTGAGTGAGTGAATGAGTGAGTGAGTGAGTGAATAATTTTTCCAAACAAATGAATGAGATAAAATTTTGCATTATAATTACCATCATTGTAGCAGCTCAATTGGATATATCCGTTACCAGGACAGTATGACCTGAACGAATGAATGAATGAACAAAATAAAATGAATGAATGGATGGATGGATGGATGGATGAATGGATGGATGGATGGATGGCTAATTAAATGAATGAATGAATAGACGAGCAAACAAATGAATGATGAACGGACGAACGCACGAATAAATATATGGATGGATAATGTTTAAAATCAAAAGATATTAAAAACAAAACATACGTTGGCTTCAAATAGAGCAAAAAATTTGTCAAATCAGCACCCTCGCCGCCACCATCACTACCACCACCACCGCCACTACCACCACCACTATCTGCATCGACCCCTGCATCTACAATCATCAATGATTTTTCAAACTGTTGGTTGCTCGCAGTGTTTGTCCAAGAACCATAACTTAAAAAGTTTTTTATATTGGGGGAATTAATGAATTAAGGAATGAATGAATGAGTGAATGAATGAATGAACAAGTGAGTGAATGAATGAATGAACGAGTGAGTGAATGAATGGATAAATGAATGAATGAACTAACGAACAAACAAATAAACAAACGGATGAATAAACTAACGGACAAACAAAGAACGCATGAAGGAACAAACGAACGACGAATTAACGAACGAACGAACTAAAAAGATAAACCAACGAATGAAAGAAAAATGAAGAAGCAGGAGAAAAAGAGCTCCTCCCAATTACCTATAGCCCATATTTCGACAGGCACCGTTGCTGTATTCGTACAGCCAGCCCTCAGAGCAGATGCGATAGTTGGGCTCTCCTTTGTACACACTCGTTAGAAACCCCGATTCGTCTAAACTCACTGTGTAGGAAGAAATTTGGAAAAATTGAAGGATGCATGTATGAAATGAATGTAGGAATGAAGGAACGAACGAACGAACGATTCAATGAATGAAAGAACGAACGAATGAGTAAATTTTCACATAAAAGTCACCACGATCGATTTACTTCACGGTAAAAATTCGTAAAAAAGGATGAGTAAAAATGAAATTTTCTAAGAAACAGTGACTAACAACAGTTGACTTCGTCAGACGTATCAAGGCATTCAGAAGTTCCATTGCACTGGAATGTCTTTGGCACGCAGAATCTATCTTTATGGCACATAAATTCGTTTGGTCTGCATTGGACTATGGATAAAATTGTGGTTTTTTCTTAAGAGAATTGGATGAATTTGTATGAATAGGATGGTTGTAATGCGATTTTTGTAATACGGGTTTTTCGTTACTATTAGGAAATTTACTAATTTTCATGTGGTTTTCAAGTGATTTGATGAATATTAAAGAAGTATAAACTACAAAATATGGAATGTTAAAATCTAAAAAATTTATAAATTAAACTCAGAAACAACACTAACGACATCTGCTTTTGTCCTCGTCATCGCCTCGGGGACAGTCTCTGAGACCGTCGCACAACCAACTCCAGTGTATACATTCACCAGTGATTGAACATTTGTACTGGAAAGGCAGGCAAGCTAGTTGCGGTTGAAACCATTATTTTGATTTATTTTGATTTATTTTGATTTATTTATTTTGATTTATTTATTTATTTTGATTTATTTATTTATTACAATTTTCGTTAAATTTAAGTTCGTTATAACTCATTCGAACTCGAGATTCATAAAAATTCCGCCTGTGTCTATTGAGGTACCTACCATCCTGGCTATTGGCACATTTACTGTCTCACATTGATTGCCTAATGTGGCCTCTACTTATTTAGAAATTTTGAGACAAACTTTGAAACTAAAAAACGATAAATAAGATGAAGAAAAAAATGGTTTTCCTCTCACGGCAGTCTCTTTCATCTGAATTATCAGGGCACTGTTTGACGCCATTGCAGATGTCTTCCCTCTTGATGCATCTTGAAGTGTTCGTACACCAGAGGCCGCCCTTATCGAGGCAGGCCTTATCTGATGGAAAAACCCGATTGACGTAATGTTGATTTACAATACCCACACACGCACACACCACACTCACGCACACACACACACACACAAACTATCTTTCTCTCTTTCTTTGTTTCTCTTCTTTCTCTCCCTACACACACAAACAAACATACTATCTTTCTCTCTCTTTCTTTGTTTTTTCTCTTTCTCTCTACCTACACACACACACACACACACACACACACACACACACACACACACACACACAGACACACAAAACAAACTATCTCTCTCCCTTTCTTTGTGTTTATTTTCTTTCTCTCTACCTACACACAAACACACAGAAACACATACAAACACACACACAAACACACACAGACACAAACACACACAAACACACACAAACACACACAGACACACACACAAACACACACAAACACACACAAACACACACACAAACACACACACACACACAGCGTACCACAATTCAGTTCATCCGTGAAGTCGCCACAATCGTCGTCCCCGTCACAGGCGTACGAACTCGGCACGCACATCTTATTCTGGCACTGTATTTGGCTGGCTGAACAGTTGAAATCCACCATTGGCGTCGTTGATGCTGCGTGTGGATGGGTGAATAATAATAATTATAATTATAACAATTATAATAATAATGATGATAATAATAATAATAATTGACCCATCGCTGAAATCCCCGTAATAATCGTTATCACCATTGTAAATAAAAGTGCAATAGATGCACACAGACAGACAGACAGCCACGCACACATCCACACACACACACACACACATACACGCACGCGCGCACACACAACGTACCGCAATCCAGTTCATCTGTGTAGTCGCCACAGTCGTCGACACCGTCGCAAACATACCTGCTGGGTAGGCACTTCAGATTTCGACAACGCATTTGGCCTTGCAGGCATTCATTTTCCGCTGGGGTGGTTTTTGCGCGGGAAAAAACTATAATTATCATTTTTTTTAGTTAAAAATTATAATATATATTGTTGTTATTTTAGTAGGAGTAAAAATATTACGACAACTTACAGCAAGTATCAGAAATTTCGTCTGAATTATCGCCACAGTCATCGGTACCATCACACAACCACCTTCTCGTAATGCATTTGCCATTCCGACATTGAAACAACCGATCGTTATTCGAACACGAAGTTACAAAATCTGCGTGTGTATGTGTGCGTGTGTGCGTGTGGGTATGTCTTTGTGCGTGTGTTTGTGTGCGTGTGTGTGACTGTGTGTGTAGTGATGGTTAAGCGGTTTAGCTCTGATGTAAACTCGATTAAAATCTTACAACTATTATTTGATTTATACCAAAAAATAATTTTCTGAATGTATGTATGTTTATGTATGTATGTATTTATGTATGTATGTACGTATGTATGTGTGGGTGTGTGTGTGTATGTATGTGTGTATGTATGTCTGTCTGTATGTCTGTCTGTTTTTAACTGACTGTGAAATCTTTTTCTGGTAGTAAATAAAAAGGGCTGTTATTCTCTTTTAACAAATCCTAAACAGCCAGACAATTTTTTTTGGCAAACTTTTTCAATGAAATCGTAAAATATTTTATAGTCATAAATTAACGAAATAAATACAAAATAACAATAAACACAAATAATAATTGTATTTAAAATATAATAATAATTGTATTTTTAACATAATAATAATAATTATTATTATTATAAAATTATGAAACTTACAACTGCAGCAGACGACCGACACACAAAAAATGACCCAGATACCATTTTCCACAACTAGTTTTTCATTTTTCGGCAAAAACATTTCGAATCTTTTTCAACAAATTCTGAAAAACGAAATTAGTTTATATATATATATACAAAACACATAGACAATTTTAAACGAAAACAATGACGATGATTGAGTGTGAATTTGAATGTATGTATGAGTGTGTGTGTATGAATGTATGTATGCATGTGTGTGTGTGTTTGTGTGTGTATGTATGTGTATATATGTATGTATGTATGTTTGTATGTATGTACGTATGTATGTATGTATTTTGAATTGAATTGAAACAATCTTTTATTCAGCAAAATACGTGTTTGTGTGTACGTGTGTGTGTGTGTGTGTGTGTGTGTGTGTGTGTGTGTGTGTGTGTGTGTGTGTGTGTACGTACGTCGTGTGTGAAAGTATGAGTAGTACATAAAATGAAAAACGCTTGCTAACACTAGCTCTTCATTATTACGATTATCTGCAAACAATGAGACCACTGCCTGACTCACTCTGAGAAATTTCGGCAAATTTATAATAAATAAATAAACAAATAATAGCGATAATAATTAACGATAATAATAATAATGATAATTAGTAAAAGAATTAATAAATTAATAATAACAATAATAATAAGAGTAGATGTAATAAGCAATGAAATAATAAATAGTGACAAGCTTTAAAGAAGCGAAAATCATTGAACAAACAAATTTTTTCATGAGTAAACTAACGCCAACTTTACACACACACACACACACACACACACACACAAACACACACACACACACACACACACACATATATACACAAACATACATGCGTACAAGACACACATACACACAAACATACCGACAGATACACACAAACACATTAACCGCATGCAATTATTGTTAGTTGTGTCACTTTCGATCTGTAAATAAGAGAAAGTTTTGTTTCAAACTCACATACACATCCACGCACACTGACTAACACATACAAACACACACGCACACACTGACTAACACACAGACGCAAACAAACAAATAAACAAACATGTACATATTGTTAGTCATATAACTTGGGATCATAAACACGACACAGTTTCATGACGACCAAAGCGTTTTTCATAAAATATTTTTACGCACAAAAAGCAATTGACAGATTTATGTACCTATGTATTATTGCACACATATACACACACAAACACACTCATACACGCACATACACACACGCATACATTCATACATACATACATGCATACATACATACAGGCATGTTTGCATGCATGCATGCATTCATACATACATACATGCTTTAACCGGATTCGACGGAACAGTTATTTCCGCCTTGATCAGTGCATTGATTCATATCATCTCTCTCTCTCTCTCTCTCTCTCTCTCTCTCTCTCTCTCTCTCTCTAATTCTCTCTTTTTAGTTCATTCATTTTTTTCTTTCTTTCCTTCTCTCCAATAAGACTTAGTTAAAATTAGAAAGAGTCGTGGTGGTTTAATTTGCTTGCCAACCTCGTAGTTTATCAATAGGCATTTTTGACTTAGCTACCGACCCTGTATTTAAAGCGATGTAATGTAACGAAACGTAATGTTACATTACGTATAATTACATCAACCTAATGTAATAACATTATGATATAACGCACTAATAAATAATAATTAATGTTATAAATTATTGCCAATTTTTTTGGAAAAAATTGCAAAATTAAATCAATTAAACTTTATCAATTATTTCAGGCGCCTTCTCCTTGAACTTTATAAAAATTTTAAACAACCATTAAGATATCCGTGAAGCTTGTAGTTGACGTTGATGATGACCGTAAGAGAAGTTCTGATGATGATGACCGCAAAAGAAGTTGTGATAATGATGATTTTCATCTTTTACTCGGTCGACGTAGCGTTTCAACGTAAGTTTGAGTATAGGTAGTATTAATTAAGGTAGCACTTATGGTGATATATCTTTTCTGGTTTACTGTTCTTAAAAATGAAAGTTCTTATATATTTGGAATCATTTTTCAAATATTTGGCGAATATAATTTTGAAAAATTTTTCAGAATAAACACATACGGTAATGAATTTCAATCGAATTGAAAATTTTAACATATTTGTAACCATTTTTTTTTGTGTGAAATATTTGAAGATAAGAATTTTGAAAAATTTCACCAGAGAAGCCATGCGCCAATCCCAGCATGTTCCGTTGCTCTGACGGAAAGTGCATAACCAAAAGATGGCTCTGCGATGGATTAAAGGACTGCAAGGACGAATCAGACGAAAAAAACTGTCGTAAGATAAACCATTTTTTTCAAATTCTTCCTCCAGTATTTGCCAAAAGCATCAACAGCAGAACGGTGATCTATTTGAATCCAACTACTGCGACGGAAACAGCAAGCACCTTAACCATCAGGCCATCGCCTAACCGTTCTATTGCGTTATAAAAATTCTACACATGTGTATAACAATTTTGTGTTATTACTATTTTTAAAACGTTTTTTTTGGTTAGTATCTTCGAACCCATTTTATTTTAGAACCAACAACAACAACAACAACTGTCCGATCAACTACAACTACAACGACTTCGCAATGTCCTCCTGATCAAGTTTTGTGCCCCGGAAGTTCTCAATGTATCAAAGTCACTTCCGTGTGTGATCGATCTACGGAATGTAGGGATAATTGGGATGAGACGGATTGTCGTGAGATGAACATTTTTTTGATTTTATTCATTTTTTTCAAAATTAATTTTTTAAAATTAATTGTTTGGTTACAATTTTTTTCAAAAATATTTATCACACACACACACACACACGCACACACACACACAGAGTACATGTACAAATTATACATACAGATAGGCGAACGCATCCCACATACATCGTACTATAACAATATTACACCATCGTGTGGGCATTAAACAAATTTCCTTTTCCTACAAAAATAAAACATAAAAATTTATTTTAAAAAACAAACATACGTACAGCTCAAAAGCTAGTTTGCATGCAGTCCAACAATGTCTGGTGCTCCAACACGTCAAAATGCATCTACAAGGATAAGATCTGTGACGGTTACAGCCAATGTCCGGATTATTCTGACGAAAAGAACTGCGGTCTGATTTTAACTCTGATTCTTTTTTAATTGACAAAAAAACGTGATAGCAGCGTTTATTTTTTAACATAATTTTATGTAAGAACTGGCCAAAATTAAACAAAAAAATGACGCATACATCAAAACTTTTGTCAAACTTGCCAAAATGAAACGTTTAAACGACAAAGACAACAGTCCTAGCAACACAAACACTCAAATGTTTGCCAGTTTGCCAGCCCCACCAGCACAAATGTTCAACGAGTGGCAACTGCATCAGTCGCGAGTGGCTGTGCGATGGCGTCAAGGACTGCCCGCAAGCTGAAGACGAGGAAGAGACTAGATGTTGTACGTTTCACTGCTGTTGTTGCTCGTGGTCCTAATTGGTGTTTAATCATTTAACTTTTTATAAGTTTACCTGTTGAGAGTTCCAAAATGTTTTTGTAAATAGTTGTCTTGAGTAATTCAAATTTGGAAAAGCAAAATCGAAATTTTTGAAAGATAGCCAGAGTTCCTCATATTGATACACATTTCTCTGAGTTTTCAACAGCAGCAGCAAACACACAGCCAGTGCAAAAGCAACGCCAGGCATCACAACCATCAGACTCCCACGCCATCCAATCAACTTCGTCAAACATTAAAACACCCCCCTGTTAAATACTAAAAAATATGGAACTCTGAAAATATGCCGTGACCACTTGAATGATTTTTTTCAGCCCAGTGTAGAGCAAATCAATTCAGATGCAAGAAATCAGGGATGTGCCTACCGAGTGAAGCTCAATGTAACGGTACATCCGAATGCTCCGATATGTCCGATGAACTCAACTGCTGTTAGTTTAGTCAACATTTTTTTTTGCCAAAAATTAATTTTATTTTATCTGAATTAATTAATTTTTATTACAAAATTGGATAGTAAGCATGGATGTGTCAGGGTTGTTGAGCAGCGTTTACAAGGGCCAGCCTGCTTTCCTCATCTGCGGCAATGGATGGACCGATCAACACAGCCATGCCGCTTGTAGGAACATGGGCTATAGGTGGGAACAGATTTTATTGACCAAAAAATTTGCATCCTTTTTATAAATTTAACAAAAATATAAAATTATCAAAACCGCAGTAACAGTACACGGACAAATATTGTGGGGTTCTCAACCGCAAAGGCTCTAACATTAGTGAGCGAGGCTCTTTCAACTGGTTATCAATTCATGTCCAACTTCAAATCTACGTATGTTGTTTTGTTTCTTCCTACAGCATATAGTCATCAAATTTTTAAAAAACCAAATTTGTTTCAACAACAGAACCAACTGTCCAAACAAACAAGTTGTCCAATTGAGCTGTTACGTTCAAGGTATTGCTTTCTCAATCCTATTTCAGATGATACTGAAGTTTTTCTCTTCAATTTTTTCTTTACAAAAATTAACTAAAAACTCAATCAACACTCCTAAAACCAGAATGTGGCAAGCGAGACAGCTCGTTCGATCGCAAGGACTCGTACATAATAAATGGGAACATCGCCAAGCAGTCTGCCTGGCCTTGGCACGTTCAAGTCTACAAGTACTCTGAACTGTTTTGGGGTGTGACCTTGTGTGGAGGTAGCATCGTGAACGAGCGGTGGGTTCTGACGGCGGCACACTGCGTCTGGTGAGGCTAGGCTTCATTTCTGTGTAATAACTTAGGATTTTTTAAAATTTAAATTTTTTAATTTTTTGTGTTTTTTCAGGGGACAAAATGCTCCAACGTACACCAGCAGGGTAGAAATAATGGTAGGCACGAATACGAAATTTGACCCAAACAAGAAAAGGATTAAAATTCTAGAAATTAAAACGTCTCAGTATAACGACAGCATCTATGAGAACGATTGGGCCCTTTTGAAGTTGGCAGAACCCCTGACGTTCAACAAGTCAGTACAGCCGATCTGCTTGGCTGACCCCAACATTGTTGAATCCTACGATGTGTGCGTCGTGATGGGGTACGGACGCACCGATCCGTGTAAGTACAACTCTCAAGTTGTTTTTGTAATTTTTTGATCTTTCGTTAAGAATGCCATAAAATTGTTTCACTTAGAAAAAATCTTATTGAAATATTAAATCAATTTACTTGATTATTTTATTTCTCATTTAATTAATTTACTCATGGAGATATGCCAAGAACACACATATTTTTGCAGCGATTAGTGATTCGTCGAGTCAACTACTGATGGAGGGGAGAATGAATCTAATAACTGCCTCCGAATGCCAATTCAACTACAACGCCGCACCTAATAATTGGACTTATCCGTTCAGTCACTACGTGTTCCTTGAGACCCAGTTCTGTGCTGGGAACACGCCAACCTCTAAAGGAACAACAATCTGCGATGTAGGTTTTTTCGGTTTGAATTTGTAAATCAGTAAGACATACAAGTGTATGAGTGTGTGTGTGTGTGTGTGTGTGTGTGTATGTTTGTGTGGGGTATGTGTGTGTAATTGACATTCACACACACACACCACACACATGCGAATAATATGAATCGGATGGAATTTAGACCATTGCCTTAAATTTGACCAAATTGACCAAGACAGGGAGATAGTGGAGGCCCATTGGTGTGTAGAAACTCCAGATTTCAATGGACTCAGGTTGGGGTGGTCAGCTTTGTCTTGAATTTAAAAGACTTCAGCTGCTACCTATCCGTATTCACCAGGGTCTCTTATTATTATGGCCAGCTGATGGCCGCTATGAAGTGATTGCAGTGATTGCATCTTTTATTTATAACCTCTTCGAGTGACATTCAATTAAATATACATGTTTATGTTTACATATATATACACATGTTTTTAAAGTTTTCATGATGATATAATTCTGTTTGTTTGTGTGTATGCGTGTGTGCGTGGCGGTGTGTGTGTGCGTGTGTGCGGATATACATTAAGTAACATGTACGTACAGAACGTAAATCATCATGTTGTTTTGTATTGTATTGCTAACACGAAGCTACAACAAACGAGTTTTCAATTTTCATGCTCTAGCAAAGCAATTAAATAAAGGAATCTAATAAGTATTCATTGGGTAACTTAACTGGAGTATTTTAAAGTATTCAATATTCGCGAATATTCGTTGAAAAATGTGCGATCACCGACACGTATAATATCGGTTTTGAGCAATTTTTTTCAGTTAAGAAGGTCTCTTTTCCAGATGTGATATATTTCTCAAATTAATCGTTTAATTTTATTGTTATTAATATTTTTAATTTAAACATTACTCAAATTCAATAATATTTTTGTATAGGTACATTTCATTGAAAAAACTACGTAAAAAGCACATTCGCGTGATTGGTAGACCAACGAACGCAAAAAATACGTTAAAAAGTGACCGTAGATTAAAAAAATATAATTTCGTTTTGTTAAAATAAGTTGAATAGAGTTACCATATTTTTCCATTCAAATTCTCGAAGGCAAAAGATCCAATAACACATTAACACATTCAGATTGTTACAAAAAAGGTTTGTGTGTGTGTGTGTGTGTGCGTGTGTGTGGTGTGTGTGTGTGTGTCAATCAAACTATTAAGACACATGCAATAAACTCTACTCGGGCCAACCAACAGAAGAAACGTCCAATCACTTCATAGCGGCCATCAGCTGGTTATAATAATAAGAGACTCTGGTGAACACGGAGAGGTGGCAATCTGAGACTTCCAAATCCATGCTCCTGCTGACCACTCCGACCTGAGTCCATTGAAATCTGGAGTTTCTGCAAACCAATGGACCCCCGCTGTCACCCTGATTTTTAGTAAATATGGTCAAACATTTATACATATAGTCGAGTCGTAGATGATATTTAATTCTGAAAGCACAATCAATTTTAAGTTGTTTACATGTGAACTTGGATTCAAAATCGTAAAAATCCAACTTCAAAACCGTAAAAATCCAACTTCTGAATCCGGATTCGTATCCGGATTCAGAAGTTGGATTTTTATTCCCAACTTTTATAACATGTGTATATTTTATCGAACTGAATAAACGTACTTCACAAATGTTTGTCCCCCTGTAGATAGGTGTAGGGCCGGCGCAGACCTGCCTATCGTACAATACGTAGTAGTCGAAGGGGTGCTTCCATTTTTTGGGGGCGTTTTGGAAGTTGGACTCACACTCGGAAGCACTCATCAAATCCATCCTGCCCTCTTTCAGCAGTTTACTCGCATAACCACTGACTGCACCAATTAGGATTTCACATCGTTAATTAAATAAATTAAAGGCTCGTTTCAATTATCATGCTCACGTAGTTGAATGGTTAGCTAAAAACCTTGGGGTTGTACTTACACGGGTCGGTGCGTCCGTAACCCATTGCAACGCACACATCGTAGGATTCAACAACGTTGGGGTCAGCCAAGCAGATAGGTTGTACTGACTTGTTGAACGTCAGGGGTTCTGCCAGTTTCAAAAGAGCCCAATCGTTTACAACTGTTTCGTCGTTATATTGGAAGGTTTTAATTTCCTGAACTTTAATCATTTTCTTATTCGGATCAAACGCAGTGTTTGTGCCCGCTATCACATCCACGTTTGAGCTATCTACAATGCCATCTTGGTCCCTAAACAACGAATACGTGTCAAATGTTATCTGAATTTGTTTAATCAACAAATCGTTCAACAATGAAAACCACATTTACCAGACGCAGTGAGCCGCCGTCAAAATCCACTGCTCATTAAGGATGCTACCTCCGCAAGAACTGGAAAGAACCTTCAATTTGGCTTTCACTTGAACGAACCAGGGCCAGGCAGACTGCTTGGCGAAGTTGCCGTTTATAACGTACGCATCTTTGTAATCAAATGAGCTATCTCGCTTGCCACATTCTGTTTAGGTTATAAAAAAAAAAAACATAAATTTTTGTATTTTCTGAAATAGGATTGAGAAACCAATTACCTTGAACGTAACAGCTCAATTGGACAACTTGGTTGTCTGGACAGTTGGGTCTGTTGTTTGAACAAATTTGGTTTTTTAAAAATTTGATGACTATATGCTGTAGGAAGAAACAAAACAACATACGTAGATTTAAAGTTGGACATGAATTGATAACCAGTTGAAAGAGCCTCGCTCACTAATGTTAGAGCCTTTGCGGTTGAGTACCCCACAATATTTGTCCGTGTACTGTTACTGCGGTTTTGATAATTTTATATTTTTGTTAAATTTATAAAAAGGATGCAAATTTTTTGGTCAATAAAATCTGTTCCCACCTATAGCCCATGTTCCTACAAGCGGCATGGCTGTGTTGATCGGTCCATCCATTGCCGCAGATGAGGAAAGCAGGCTGGCCCTTGTAAACGCTGCTCAACAACCCTGACACATCCATGCTTACTATCCAATTTTGTAATAAAAATTAATTAATTCAGATAAAATAAAATTAATTTTTGGCAAAAAAAAATGAAAATTTTGACTAGACTAACAGCAGTTGAGTTCATCGGACATATCGGAGCATTCGGATGTACCGTTACATTGAGCTTCACTCGGTAGGCACATCCCTGATTTCTTGCATCTGAATTGGTCTGCCCTACACTGGGCTGAAAGTAAAATTATTTCATAGAATAGAAATTTTTCAATTCAAACAACTGCACGTGAGAAATTTTTTATCTTTTATTCAAAGCTTACTCTACATAACTTCTCGACGTTAAGCAATGAGCATTTCTGCGTATTTAAAACCTTAAAAATGACATTAAAAACATTACGAAAAATGAAAAAACTTCCGAAAAAAAAATTTACTGATGAAAATATTTTCAACAAAAGCACTGACGACATTTTGATTTATCCTCATCTTCTCCTTGGGAGCAATCCTTTATACCATCACATAACAATCCCTTGTTGATGCACACTCCACTTACTGCACATTTGTACTGGTAGTCCTGGCAAGCTTATGTGCGTGCGTGTGTGCGTGTGTGTGTCTGTTTGTGAGCGTGTGTGTTTGTTTGTGTGTGTTCTGTTGTGTGTGTTAGTGTTTTTATATCCACTAAAAATTAATTTTAAAGTCAATCAATCCAACAATCAACCAATGCTATTTCGGCGATGTTAAACAGCGCTCCTCAGTGAATTTTGCAAACAGATGGGTCTTGAGATCCGCTCTGAACTTCGCAATTGGTGGAGAAAGTTAAAAAAGAAGAAGGTAGAGACTTTCAGAGAAAAGGGTCAGATAAACAAATGCAAATTTAGCAAACAAGTGTTTAACACGAGTTAAGAAGAAGTGAGAACAAGAAGACGATCTTAAACCGGGGCGTCTAGGTTCTATTAATATATCCGATAAGTACTTAGGAAATAATTTAGATTGAGACTTATACACATATGTGCAAATTTAAAAAAATTATTCTATATTTTATAGGTAGCCAGTGCCAGAGAACAAGATATGGAGATATATGAGAAAAGAAAGGGGCAGGCACGAGCAACTAGACGAGTAGCAGAGTTAAAAGCTTTGCTTAAAGCTTTAAGTTAAAAGCTTTGCTTATAGAATCAGGAAGACCATAGTAGAGCGAGTTACAATAATCAATCCTAGATAAGACTAACGAAGTAACAAGAAGGAGAAGAGTAGGATCGTCAAGAAAAGGCAAAAGATTTTTTATTCTACAAAAGATGAAAGTAAGAACTTCTAGCAACACAAATTCGTTTTAGCTCACAAAATTATTATGAAACGCAAAACGTTCACTTTTGATTTCAATTCAACTAATATTTTCTAGAATTATTGAATAAATTGAACTAAATTTTATTAAAAACCCAAATTGACAAATTAAATAATTAGTTAACTAAATAAACAGAAATTCATTTAAAAAACTAACGACAGTTCATTTCATCTGAGTTGTCAGGACACTTTTGGTAGCCATCACATATCTCCTCCTTCAAGACGCACTTGGTGGTGTTGTAACACATCATGCCACCGACGTTATCGCATGCTTGAATTAATAACTGCGCTAAAAAGTGATTTATAAAAATGTTTATTACTATTTTCTCTCGGTTATATCTCAAGATAGCAACATCCGCACATTGCATGTGGCAGGTGAGGATCTGTCTTGCGTTCGAACTGGTGACCATTACACCATCTGGCCAAATTTGAGCATTTCGTAAAAGTGAATTGCCCTGTATGAGCATTTTGCTTTGATGAAATTGTTAATTTTTAAAAATTTAACATAGAAATGAATTAAAATTTTCGGTGAACTCACGACAGTTAGTTTCGTCCCATTCTGATTCTCCACAGTTCATGTCGTTGTCGCAAAGCTGGCGAATCAAAAGGCATTTGGTGCCGCCAAAACAGCGGACTTCGTTACGACCACACTGACGCATGGCTGTTGTGGTTGTCGGTGGCTGACGAGTCGTCGTACTGGTGGTCGGCGCTTACGTTTCGAAGTTTTGGTAAAAACATTTTGATTTAACAGTAAAAATATTTAAAAACTGCTCTCCATTTAATCAGCTAATTAAAACCAGCCATACGACAACGAATTTTAATTACTAAGGGCTAACAAAACACCACCCAAATCAAAATTAGGTCGTTTGTTGTTTGGAACATGTAACCAGTGGAGTGGCGGATCCAGACAACTCTTACGATGGGAGCAAAATTTTGACAATGTTTAGGCCCTCTCTGCCTTCCCAATAGATGCGCCACTGCATGTAACTATTAAAAATTAGAACGAAACATCAACTGACGACATCCTTGTTCGTCCCATCTGTCTTCGCAGTCATAAGCCCCGTTGCACAGAAGCCTGCTGTCGATACACTTTCTGTCCGACGGACATGTGAACTGGTTCGCACCGCATGGCAGAACTCTTTGTGTTGTTGTGCCTGTTGTAACAATGCAAAGATTCTAAAAATGATCTCGGCGATAGAGTTTTATGTAGAAAAAGTACATTCAAACGATTAGATTTGGGTGACGTAGATTTCTCATAAAATGGTTAAGATTGCAATGATGACTGGATTCGATCGAGGGCAAAGTTAAGTCTCGATTTCATTGTTAAAGATGAATTTAACAAATGAAATGGTAGGATTTTGTTACAGATTAATTAAATTATTTAGCGGAAAGTAACAAAACTTTTGGAAGCTGTAAAACGAATTTAGCCAACCGCAATACATCTCGTCCATGTTGTCTCCACAATCGTTGCGATTGTTGCAGATGTCGCTCATGAATATGCATCTCTTTGTGTTGGGGCAGACAATCTTGTCAGGTGAGCAGCCGGATTTGTTGGGTGTTGTTGTTGGCAGAGTTGCATGGGTCGTTGTTGATGTTGTTTGTTCTGTGAGTTTTTAAGTTTGAAATTATGTTTTATCTTTTGGAAATCTGTTCATATATTAGAGTGATTAATAAATGGTTGAATCAATGCATGGATGGATGAATTGAATAACTTATTAAGATGAATGGATGAATGGATGGATGAATGGATGGATGGATGGATGGCTGGATGGATGAATGGATGGATGGATGAATGGATGGATGGATGGATGGATGGATGGATGGATGGATGGATGGATGGATGGATGGATGGATGGATGGATGGATGGATAGATGGATGAATGGATGAGTAGATGGATGGATGGATGGATGGATGGATGGATGGATGGATGGATGAATGGATGGATGAATGGATGGATGAATATATAAATGAATAAAATATTTCACAAAATTTTATAAATTCAAACTAACGGCAATTTCTCTTATCTTCATCTGAACGATCCGCATCGCCACAATCGTCATATCCATCACATAGCCATTTCTTCGTTATGCACCTTCCATCCAGACATCTAAACATGCTGCTAGGGCATGGCCCTTCAATGAAAATTTATTTGAAAATATTTCACAATTGATCATAGGGGGAGGTTGGTGGTCATTTCAATTCTTCCGCCCCTTTCCTTTTTCACGAACCAGACAGCTTGACCAAACAAGCCCCATTTGTTAAAAAATTTTACAAATGGGGCTGAAATTTTGGGTGAAAATTTGTTGCATTATCAAAAGGCCTCTGAATCTCCATTATCATCACCATCATCTTCATCATCGTTTACATCATCATCATCATCATCATTGTCATCTTTGTCGTCGTCATCATCAATGTAGATACGTTTATATGAAAATTAAATATAAATTTTAATTCGAAAATAAATTTAATTTAAAAATAACTGGCTTACGTTGTGACGAATCCACCACTAGGGCTACATAACTTATAAGAGAAGCCATCATCAAAATTTTCATCAGGGTCACCATTATTTTTAGGTAGAATTTTCAATTTTCTTGATTTAATAATTTTTGCAGTTTTTATAAGTCTTAGAAAAGTAATTTCTGGAACAAACTGTAATATAAAACCTGTAAAATACTAAGTCATAAGTGACACTTAACTAAAAACACACATACACACTCACACATACAAACATACACACACATACATACATACACACACACACATACATGCATACATACAAACAAACATACGTGCACACTCATTTTTAAAATGCTATAAAACAACGCAAAAGCCACGTCAGCATAACAATACCGCATTAATATTATTATCATCATATTTAACACGGGCAAATAACAGACAATAGATGCTACGAATCTTCTTTTACACACACATGCAGAACGAGAGAGAAAAAGAGAGAGAGAAAGAGAAAGAAAAAGAGAGAGAGAGAAACAAACAAACACACACAAACAGCGTGTTTCAGTAGCACAAAAGTTTGAAACCTTAATAAATCTTACATAGTAGTAGCAAACGTTAATCAGTCGCACGTTAAACAGGTAAATCATAAAACTGCAGTTATTTTAAGTAATTCAATTCTTTGTCTGTATGTGTGTGTGTGTTTGTGGTGATGTACATTGCGTATATGTATGTGTATGTGTGTGTACATATGTGTATTGTATATATGTATATGTGTGTATGTATGTATATTTTAAATTATGTTACACTGTTAATCTACTAGGAGCAAACAGTAAAACTTCTCGGCAAATTTTTACACATTTTCACCTCAGAGAAATGTAATTAAATTACTTTGACACGGAAATTAAAAACTATTCGATTTTGAGTATTTCTCGGTTTCGGTTAATTTTTTACAATTTCGGATATGACTGCTGATAAGAATGTCTATCAAATTTAGTCTCAATGAGATTGTGATGCCGTTGAAACGAATTTAAAACGCTTAATTCAATATTTTACAATTTCAGGATGAAAAAAACTCGGGGCAGAATTACTTTTTAAAATTAGTAACTTTAAAATAAAATTAAACCGCACACAAAGCATTCGTTAAATAGCAAAAACCATCATTGTTTTGTCTCATACTGTTAGAAAACATATAATGGTCAGTATTAAAAATGTTTTTAAAAAGATTATTAATTATTAAACGCTGAATTTTAAAATATGACAAAATATTAAATTATGTTTTTATGTTCTCAGCAATTATTTTCATTAGTTCACTGCTGATTCATTGCACCTTCAAAGTCGTACAATCCTCAAGGCAGTTACAGATAAATTTCACATCACGGTGTCCATCAACGCTTTGTAATAATGCGAGACCCTGGTGAAAACCGCAAGATTGCATGCCACAACACCACTTATATTACTACCAGAGGTGTAGCTGACAACTCCAACTTGGACCCATTGAAATCTGGGATTTCTGCACATCAGAGGTCCTCCACTGTCGCCCTGTTGTTTGATTGATGAACAGCAAGCTCTTCAGCTAATCTAACAAAATCCTCTTAGGACAAAAACACATAAATGCATAAATATCTGACTAAATTGCATTTTCATGTTGCAGTCTTTAAATAAAAAAGTTCTGTAACTTCGAGTAAAAATATTGTTAAGTTTATTTTATTTTACCAAACAGGATGTCGTTCCTTTTTCTAACGGGAGTGACCCGGCACAGAATCGTTTGTCGTAGGTTAGAAAAGGGTTGGTTGGCGAACTACTATAAATAGCTCTACATTCGGCTTCCGTCATCATGTTCATTTTTCCTTCTCTCAGTAACATACTGTCATACTGACCGTTTGCTGAAACGACAGGCGTGCATTGTTCAACGAATTTTCAATAATAACCGTATAGATTTTTAACTATTTGAACAATTTAAGCAATGTTTTTAATACATATTCAGCTAAAAATTCAAGTTAATAAGCAATTTTTTGTAAACTTCATGTAAGTAACGCATTTTATCGATCAATTTACAGCACACTTAGGTGTAGATTAATTCTTCAACTAAGTTAACAAGTTAACGCATGTAATTTTCAGCTCTACATTTTTTAAATCTTATGTAGCCAACAATTATGTTAAGATAAAAATGTAACAAGCACGGATGGTGTTTTGTCATACTTGGGTCAGTCTTTCCATGTCCAACAACTACACACACATCATAAGCCTCCAAAGTATTTTGATCAGCCAGGCAGATCGGTTGGACTGACTTGCTGAACGTCAGTGGCTTAGATAACTTCAATAGAGCGATATCGTTATCGATAGTGGCATCGTTATATTGGAACAGTTTTACATCTGCAATTTCAAGTACTGCAACGTCCGTATCAAAATACTTGTTCGTTCCAACTTGAACGCTAATGTCACTTATTTGACGCAAACCATTAGCACCCCTGTGCATAATTATTTTAAATACTTTGTTAATTTTATTGAATTTCAGATCCCATGAGTAGCAGCGGCAAGAAACAACTTACCACACGCAATGAGCAGCAGTCAGAATCCACCTCTCGTTCATAATGCTGCCTCCACAACTATTTACAAAACCTGGTTTTTCAATCATAGAAGCCTGCACCTGGGCGAACCAGGGCCAGGCGGATTTTTTGGCGATGTCTCCATTTATGACGAAGGAATCTTTATGATCGAAGGAGGCGTCTCGCTTGCCGCATTCTGTCGTGTGCATTCAATTAATGCCCGCTTAGTTAGTCCTAATTCATGATGTACTTACATTGGCAGCAGCATTTTTACGAAAACTAATAATGAATGGATGGGAATTGAAAACCTTGAGCATTGCAGATCAGTCCGATGTAGCGATTGCTTGGACAGTTTGTTCTACGTTCAAAAAAAACTTCCAATGAAAATCATTGAAGAGGTGAAATAAAATAAACATCATACGTTGGGTTGAAATTGGAAAGGAACTTATATCCAACAGCCAAGTTTCCAGTTTCCAATCTTAATGAATTCGGAGTGTATTGTAGAGCGTTGTTCGACCAACTAGAGTAACTCCTTTTAAATTTGTTAATCAGAAATAATGAGCTAAAGATTTTATCTAACTTTAACTGTTCACCTATATGCCATGTTCCTACAAGCGGCATTGCTGTGTTCATTCGTCCAGCCATCGGCGCACACGAGGTAACCAGGCTGTCCTCTGTAAGTGATGCTCAAGAAACCTGAATTGCCTACAGTTACTGCGAGGTTTTTCAAATTACAATGAACTCGTTTCAAGAACTTTGAAAACTAATTAGACACAACTGATAAAGCTCACGTGAGTTTGAAAATCAAATATCAATGTGTACGAGTGCAACTAACGGCAATTTTGTTCATCAGACATGTCCGAACACTCATTCGCTCCGTTGCACTGGAATTCATTGGGCAAGCACAAATTAATCTTCCTGCATTTAAACTGACCCGATGTACATGGGGCTGAAAATTTAAAAAAATAGGCATCGTTCTCTTAATTTTAAAATGAATTCTTCATTACGGAGCCATCGAACCGTTTCGGAATTAAAAGATTGCAAAAGATGGTCTAATAGAGATGACTACTAACGACACACGGATGCAGACTCATCGTCCCCCTGTGGACAGTCCCTGATGCCGTCGCACAGCCACCTGCGGTGCAGACACTCCCCACTTATCTCACACTTGTACTGGTGCGGCTGGCAAGCTTCGTTTCATTTTAAGTTAGTTAAATTTTTTGTTACAATTAATTTTCATCTACTTATTTTATTTGACTGGGCGTGCAAAGACAATTTTTAAAATGGGCTCATCATGAATTAGCACCAGGGCACTTTCATCTCTTTCATCACGCAATTGGGTGAGCAGCTCGTAAAAATTTGAGAATGCAAAAGGAATCCTGTTGATAAACATTCCACAATGGAATATGGAAAAGTAATATTCTAAATATTCCAAAAATCTTTAAACCAGTTTCAGTTAAATTAAAAACTTTTTCTACTCGTTTTATTTCATTTTCAAATTTAAATGAAAAAAATATGAACTGTTTCCGTCTAACCACAATTCATTTCATCGGAATTATCCGGGCAATGTTTAACCCCGTCGCAGATGTCTTCTGGCCAGACACATTGGGAAATATTGAAGCACCACATCCCAGCATTAATTAAACACATGTTGTCTGGATTTGTTAAAATAGCGTACAAAAAACAGCAATGAAATTTGTAATATACTTTGGCCAGCGTGACCATGCAATGTGATGTTTAGATTCACTCGCATTCACGTCCACCGTGCGATTGCTACTGATACCTCTATGAAATACTCAATAGAGGATTGTGAGGAAATTCGAAATGAAATATTAAAACAGCCACGACATTATCGCGTAAACATAAAACTACCATCATATTTTAAAAGGGATTTCATTTTCATAAAAAATAATGAACATACAGCAGTTATTTTCATCAGAACCATCGTCGCAGTTAATCTCATGGCGGCCATCACAAACGAGAGCTTGGTCGATGCATGTTATCTCAGACAGACAACGAGCTTTTCTCACTGGGCATAGAGGATTCTTCCGTGTGGTAGGACGGTTCATTGCTATTCATTTTTTGTGTGTGTGGTTGTGTTGTTTGTGGTGTGTTACATGTGTGTGTGTGTGTGTTGTGTGTGTGTGTGACGTAAGCGACCCTGGCATAATGGTCGTTCACTGTTGAGAGCTAGAGTAACGCCCGTACGCCCGTATACTACCACGGTGACAAAGCAGTCCTATTCATTGATGCATTGTTTTCTCTAAATGAAGGAGACACTGTAAAAGGTTTCTTAAAAAAGATAGCTCATTGCCTCACCTTGACAGCCAGCCCTGCCAGTCTGGCTGGTTATCCTACTCAGTGGATCAACAACAGAAGGAATAACGTAAAGAAAACACGTTTCACGCAAGCTATTAGTATTGCTTAAAAGAGGACAAAATTTTGGTGGTCTGCCAGAGCTGGAAAACTGCAGGCAGCGGCGGATCAAAGAAATATGAAGTCATTGTATGGAAATTTAAAAGCAGTGTTTGGTCCTTGCAGTTTGGGTAGTCTTCCGGTGCTGTCAAAGGACGGACAAATACTAATCAAGGATGGCTATGAAATCCTGACTCGATGAGCTAGGATGTTTGTTGCCTGTAATTTTTACAGTCCCCCGACTTGTCTGGTATTCATCGAGACTATGTTTATTCTCTCACAAAAAGTCTCACCGTCGATATCCCATCGTGTGTGCATGAGGTGTGTTTGTGGGCAGAAAGCAGAAAATAAAAATTTATTCTTTTCTTTGTCTTAAATATTAATGCACAAAATTAAATTTATATTAAAAATTATAAAAAATTAAAACGTAAAAGTAACAAGACAACAAAATTTGTAAACTAACGACAATTTATTTCGTCCCAGCCATCAGTGCAGTCGTTGTAGTTATCGCACAAATAAGTAATCGGAATGCACTTGCCACTGTTCGGGCAATTGATTTCAGTAGGTAGGCATGGGGGGTAGTTCGCGGGAGACACTGGGGCACTTGGGGTGATTTCTGCGTTTTGTTAATGCATATTTAGCTTATGGTCAGTGATAACTCTGCTCTGTTTTATAAGTTTGCATTCTACTGAAAGTTCTAGCGCTCTCATTTTGACTATTTTATGTATAACAATTTAGCTTCCAAGTTAGCTTCTTAAGTGGTGCACTAAATTTCCAAAGTTCTTTCAAAACTTACATACATCGAGGAACTTCTGTTTTTTGGTATTTGAAATCAAATTTTTACTCTCATGCACCTTAACTATGTATATTTTATATTCCACGAAGCTAGCATACATTTTCAAAAAGGCAAAAACAAACCTTAACATAATCTCTTAAGATTAAATTGAATGCAATCAATTAAAATAAGTCAAATTAAATTAAATTAGTCATGCTAAATTGAAATAAAAAAAATTGAATTAATCACGACAATTCCACTCGTCACTGTTGTCAGGACAATCTTGGACTCCATTACAAAGGCGGTCGTCCGAGATGCACCAGGCTGATGAAAAACAACGGAATTGGTTGGATAGGCAGAAGTTAAAAGTCGTCTTCGTCGTAGTTGGAATTCGTTTTGTGGTTGTTGTGGCTGTTAATTTTATTTGAATTTTTTTATTTTAACATTTTATGTTAACCGAGAATCATCAATATTTTTTGAGGCCAGACCAAATCAAACGCCTTATTAAAATCTAGAAATTATTAAACAGATGTAGTTTCCATTTTGGCAAATAAGTTAATTTTAGTTCAGTACGTATGTATGCATGATGGTTCGCGTGTAATTTAAATCAACAGTTTTTGTGCTAGAGAGCCACAAATTTACCCAAATTTATACGAGTAAATCTTCCACTTAACAAAGCCAATCGCATCAATAAAAATCCCTTTGAAATACTTTTAAAATTATTTGCAATGATTAAAAAAATTGTGAAAAAAAAGTCACAAATCTTCCAAAACACTTAGCAAAAGCCATTTTATTTCATCTCTGCTAAGAACGTAGCTAAAGTTATAAGGAAATCTCAAACGTAGTAAATACAGTCCGATAAATAAAAAAAATGTTCATAACTTTGAAAACACTTACTACAATACATCTCGTCACTCGAGTCGCCGCAATCGTTGTAACCGTCACAGTAGAAGTAGTTGGGGATGCAGTAGCCACTGGACCGACAACGAAAGTAGTAAGCTGGGCAGTAGTAGTTCATGGTAGTTGTTGCTGGCATCCAAGCGGGTGTAGTGGTAGTTGTGGTTTTAGCCACTGGTTATGTATTTTTATTAAAAATATAAATTTATAAATAAAAATTATTACTAATACCGATTCATTTTTAATCAAAAATATATTGTCAGCAATTAATTTTTCCTAAATTGAAAATTAATAAAATTGAAATCAGCTGATGAAAATTGAAATCAATTGATTAAAACTGATGCTAAATTAAAAAAGATTATCTTACTGCAGCCTTTCTCGTCCCAGCCATCATTACAATCTCTATAGTTGTTGCAAACCCAATTTGCTGAAATGCATTTTCCGTCGGACGGGCAGGCAATTTGATAAAACTGGCACTGGGAAGGTCTTGGGGTGGTTCTCAGTGGCGGTGAATTGGTTTTTTCTGATTGTGGTGGGGTAGTGAAAATTGAAATTTCAACCGAAGCTGATGAATAATTATGTTTTTTATTAATTTATTTTTACTTAAAATTTTTTACATTAGTATTATTATTTTTTGTTGTAATTTGCCAAGCTGGTTTATATGCACTTGCAGTTTAAAAACTGGGTCTCTCTTTGCATTCAAACCCAGTGAGAAAACTTTTAAAATAAAATTATTCATTCTCTTACAATCACTTGCAAAGCGATTAAAACGATTAATACGACTCTTCCAAAGTTGTCAATTTAACGTACTCTACAAACACGAATGTGCATATAACATAATGAGACTAAAATAACAACGAGACACAGAAAATAACGATACGAAACATAGTTGTGAAGTTCAAAACAAAATTTCTAAACTTCGTAAAAGTTCAATTTATTCTAATTATATGGTTCAATCAAAAATAAAGTTCAAAAGCTTTAACTTTTTACTTTGAACTCATAAGCAATCTTGCTTGCATCTTTGTAGTGATCATTTAAACATGAACTTTATAAACCGCATGGCCTCAAGAACAGAATTCTAAAAGTTTGAACTTCAAAACTATGATACTAGAGGATCTGAAATCATCAACTAACGACAACTCCATTCATCTGAATTGTCCAGGCAGTCATTTCGACCATTGCACAGCAAGCTAGGAAGTATGCAGAAGCCGTTGTTACACTCGAACTGATTTATGAACGAACACCAGCCTGCTTTTTTGGCTACTGGTAATGGTTAAAATTATTTTTAAAATCTCGAAATGAGAATGAAAGATGATAACGAGACAAAAAAATAACATCGGGACTGATAACGAGACCTAAAAAATAACGATATTTTCGAATTTTTTATTTATAGTTTTGAATTATTAACAAATAAAATTGATGGAAAATTTATTTAAATAACGTAAAAATTTAGAGAAATTTCATTTAATTTACAGAAAATTGAAAAAATTCATTTTACTTTTCCAAAAATATGGACAAAATTAATTCAATTTCCTCATAAAGTTGAAAATTGTCATTTGATGTAATGAAAATATGAAAAAATTCTATTTAATTTACTAAAATATTTCAAAAAGTCAGAATCTTCACGTACCTCCATCAGATCTGGTGCCGACAATGCAGCAAATGCACGCAACAAGAAAAACTGGCGCCCACACCATCATTAAACAACAACAAAATTAACTTAATTCAATTTATTTCCTAGCTTTAAATACAATTTTAACAAAAAATCTTCAATAAAACTCTGCAAAAGTCATTTTATTTCGGCTCTACTGAGAACGCAACTGAAATTTATAAGCAAGTTTCGAAGCACTCTTCAAATGTGCATTTGACAAGGGCCAAACATTATATCATATTTTTACGAGTCGTCAACAAACAAAGACAGTTTATTTTACTTTGTAACGAAATTCGATAAAAATTTAACAAAAATACACATAAAGAAACATAAAATTGTATGTGTAAACATAAAAACAAACATACATACATCTTACTTCTATGCATACATACATACAAACATACATACCTACCTACCAACCTACCTACCTACCTACCTACCTACCAACCTACCTACCTATCTACCTACCTACGTACATAAACACATACATACATACATACACATACATAAACATACATAAACATACATACTGTAGTAATTGAACATTCGCTGGCTTTTCCAAAGTTAATTTTACTATATTACGTTAGGTTTAGTAAGATTTGAAAAAAAATCTTAAAAAAGATTTTTTAAAGATTTTTATTAATGTGGCTGTCAGACTTGTCCAGGCTTTTATTTTGAAAAATTATTTGTCAAAGCATAGTGCCTCCATTGTTTGCAATAAACAATAACACACATACGCACCAAACACTCACACACACACACACACGCACGCGCACACATATATTTATATAAACACACATATACACACACATACATGCATGCATTACACACACACACACATTTAAAAAACTACAGTAAGGCATTTCGGCTTTGACTTTTTGATAAATTATAATTATGAAAAAAATATTGTTACTGGAGATTCTTAAAATATTTTCTTTAGAGATTTAAATAATTTATAAAATTTAATTGAACTTAATTGGTCACATTTATAAAAATTAACTAAAATTTTTAAAAACTCAAGTGAAATAATTGAATATTATTTGGTTGTTTTATGTGTGTGTGTGTGTGTGTGTGTGTGTGTATGTTAGTTCAAATGTGTGTGTGTGTATGTGTGTGTGTGTGTGTGTTTGTGTGTTTGTGCATGCGTGTATTTGTGTGAATGTGTGTATGTGTGTGTTGGTTATCAAATCAAAAAAGTAAAAAATGAAGCAAGACTTGTCAAAAGTTAACCGACTCTCAAATAAAAAACGCTAAAAAATCCGCATTAAAGTACTTTAAAAAAAACCTAGCTAGTACCTCTGAAAAATTTTTGCTAGAAGTTATAGTAGTAGTAGTAATAATAGTAGTAGTAGTAGTAGTAGTAGCAGCAGCAGTAGCAACAACTACATCAACAGCAGTAGTAGTATGTGTGTATATATATATATATATATATATATATATATATATATATATATATATATATATATATATATATATATATATATGTATACAAAAGTAACTTATGAAATCTACCGAATTTCTATCGTTAATTATGGTCATATATATTTATAAGGAACTCACATAATTATGTATGGTATATATATATATATATATATATATATATATATATATATATATATATATATATATATATATATATATATAACATGTATGGCGTGCATTTATAAAACTGAATGTATTGGACATAGTAGGACATAAATAATTCTCTTCATTTGTTATAGTTTCAAACGTTGTTTGTTCTCTTGTCTTGGTTGGTGTTTTGTGTATGTTTGTTTGTATGTTTCTGTGTTTGTTTGTATGTTTTGTATTTATGGTTGTGTATTTGTTGGTCTATGTATAAATATTTGTGTGTTTGTATGTGTGAAAATGTCTGTGTGCTTGTATACCATTTTGTGTATGACTGCTTGCATATTTGTATATGTGTTTGTATATTGATATATACTATTGTATATGTTTGTATGTGTTTATGTATACGTTTGAATATATGTATATATATATATATATATATATATATATATATATATATATGTTTGAGTATGTGTGTGTGTGTGTGCGTGTGTGTGCGTGCGTGCGTGTGTGTTTCTGGCGCTAAATACGGTACATTATGTTAACTTGTGTTAACTAAAGTTGTATGATTTTAATAATAATGGAAATATTTTGATTTGGATAAGGTTAGCTAAATTAAATTAAATAAAGATTAATATTAATCAATTAGAAATGCAATTTTTTCATAAAATTAACAAGTAATTATAATTATTATTATAATATAATAATATAATTATTTCGAACATAATAATTAATTCTACTGCTAGAGCCAGGGTTGTATATAGGAGCCTACATTTGCACTCATACAAACTCATACAAACACACCTCATAGACACATATTGGCACGACACACACACATACACACACACACATACACAACACACACACACATACACAACAATCACACATACATACACTCATACATTCATGTTAATACATTCATTCATACTAAAACTTACAAAAAGAAATCTTATATAATACAGGAAGAAAAGAAGAAAGAGAAAAAAGAATGCAACTACTCGGACAAGACATCCACAACGACAACGACGACAACAACAGCGACGACATCAATGACAATAACATTAACTTCGACGGCAACTGCAAAAATATTGATGACGATATTGGTAGCAGTAGCAGCCAAAACATTAATCCTGATAGCCATGACAATAACAGCACCGATAACTACACAAACCTCAACAACGTCGACATTAACAACTACAACAACATCAACGACGACCACTTAATAAACAGCAATAATGTCAACAATAACATCAACAACAACTACATCAACCACAACGAGACTACTGACATCAACAACAACATAGACAGCAACAATGCCATCAACAACAACAGCAACAACAACAACAGCAACAGTAGCGTCAACAACGACATAAGCATCAACATCAACAGCAACACCATCACCAGCGACCACGATATAATTTGCGACGACAACGCCACCGTCATCAGCTTCAGCAGCTTCAAACGCTCCCTAGTCTACAAACTTCGACACATCTTGCAAACTCGACGAGGCTCCCCAATACTCTATACCACCGTCTTCAAAAACACCTTCAAACACGTTCATCTAATGTACCTCCAGAATGCAATCATTCGGGATATTTTTCCAGAGCGGTGCTCTAATCTAACATTACCAAAGGAAGCTCAGTTCAAATTCACCGTCGGTGCACTTGAGTCTGATCCTGGCTGTGCCAAAAGTAGTAGTAGACGCGGTAGTAGTAGTAGCAGCAGCAGTAGTAGCAGCAGTAGTAGTAGTAGCAGCAGTAGTAGTAGTAGCAGCAGTAGTAGTAGTAGTAGCAGTAGTAGCAGTAGTAGCAGCAGCAGTAGTAGTAGCAGTAGTAGTAGAAGTAGTAGTAGAAGTAGTAGAAGTAGTAGGAGTAGAAGGAATGCTAGGAGTATTAATAGTCAAAAAATCATTCCGAATACCGATACTGCAAGCAAAATCAACAGCAACGCTAACAACAACTACAACGAACACAGCAACATAAGAAGTCTTAGCTACAGCAGCAACAGCAACAGCAGCGATGACGACGACGACAGTTCCTACATCGACCTTAACAGCTATTGGCATGATGTTGAAACAAAAGAAATAATCTTAGGAAACTTCTCATTCCTCTGTAGTCTCGACCACCAGCCTCCAGTGTCGCCGTCGCTCGTTGATGACATCATAGATGACGTCATAAACAACAAAAACAATAATAATAATATTAATAATAATAACATCAATAATAATAATAACGACCACTTTTTAACCGGAAATGAAAATTTTTTCACTCACTTGTTAGAGAATCACGACATGACTGATGATTATGATGAGGACGATGACGACGATGATGATGATATTATTACCACTACTACTACTACTAATAATAATAATAATATTAACAATTACAACAACAAAAATAATACTAATAATAATAATTACAATAATGACAATAATAATTTTGAAGCCTGTGAAACGTCTGACATTATCACTTCGCCAGCCAGCAACCGCCTAGCTAAGAGGCCTAGATTGGAGTTGGAATCATTGTCATCATCAACAACAACCTCATCGCCATCATCACCATTATGGGCTATATCATCATCATTATCACCACCATTATCACCACCATTATCACCATCATTATCATTACCATTATCGTCATCGTCTTCGTCGTCGTCGCTTTTATTTTTGCCACCATTAAATAACTCCACGTCCCAGTTTCTTTGTGGTTTTACGTTACCATCATTCTCATCATCATCATCATCATCATCAACTACTTCTTCATCATCATCATCATCATCATCATCATACAGGCCATCGTTATCAGCATCGTCACTAACAGTATCATCACCATCATCATCGTCGTCGTCATATATGCCTTCGTCATCATCTTCATCGTCGTCGTCATCGTCGCCAAATGGTCCGTTTATTCTATCAGTAGCTAACCTCGTCAATAATAACAACAACAACAACAACAACAACAACAACAACAATAATAATAATAATAATAATGATATAAATAATGATGGTGGTGATGATGTTGACAACAATAGTAACAGTATTATTATTAATTACAACATAATTGACCCGATGTTGGCTGGAGACGGTTTCAATTTTGCAGACATTTTTCATGGCATTCCAAACATCAATCTGCCTAATATTGACGAAGAAGAATATATCATGAATTTTTAACGTATGTGTGTTTGTTTGTGTATATGTGTGTGTATTTGTGTGTGTGTGCACGTGTGTGTGTATCTCACAATATACCTTTCTGTGCGCGCGCGTGCATTTCTTAGCGGTTTATGAAACGTTTTGCATTTGCTCCGTTGTTCTTGCCATGTGTCATCATGTGCGTCTATGTATGTCTTTGTATGTGTTTGCTTGTTTGTTTGTTTGTATGTGTGTGTATGTCTTTTTATAAAAAGCTTCATGTATATATATATATGCATGCATTTTATATAGGTGATTTGGGTTCTGTCCAACCTATTTAAAGATAAGATATGCGCTAGATGTCTGCCTATATTGAGTTTTAAAATTCCCTCGCTCTTTCACCTTGTTTACTTTTTTCTCTTATATTTTCTCTCTCTCTCTTTCTCTTTTTCTTTCTATCCATCTATCTGTCTGTCTCTCTGTCTGTCTATCTATCCATCCATCTATCAATCTCTGGTTTTGTCATTTTCTTTGTAATTATTTTCATAGTTTAGTCTGCAATGATTCTAATCAAGAAAAGTTTTTTATTTTCAAATATTTTCTAAAAAGGATAATAATTAATACGATCTTTCTATCACTATATATATATATAATATATATATGAATATATAACAGTGTTTTTATATATCAACTGTATATCAAACGCATATATATATATATATATATATATATATATATATATATATATATATATATATATATATATATATATCGTTTCATATAAATATATATATATTTAAATATTTATATGCATTATACCCATATATTCGTATATTACATTTACTAGCAAATCTTTTTCTTTAGTTTTAATTAATTAATTTATTGACTGACTGATTAATTAATGATTAAAGTGTTTTAATTACATATTGAAAAAAAACCTTCTCTTGAAAAGTTTTTTTTATTAATTTCGAATTTAAATTCATATTTTTATCAAAGTGAAGAGAGAAAGGGAGAGAGAGAGAGAGAGGAAGAGAGAGAGAGAGAGAGAGAGAGAGAGAAGAATTTACGGTTGACATACATGAGGAAATAAGTTTCGAAATTGAAATGAGATCACAACGTATTTCTTTAAAGGTTAATAAAAGAAAATCGCTTAACAATCGTTCAGCTGGTAAACGATCTAATCAAACGACCAATCAACCAACCAACCAACCAATTAAGAAACAACCAATCATCCAACCAAACCACCAATTAAACAACTAATCAATCAACCAATAAACCAATCATCCGCTCAATCAACCAACTAACCAAACAACCAATCAATCAACCAAACAATTAACAAGCCAATCAATCATCCAACCAACTAACCAATCAACCAACCAATCAATCAACCAGCCAACCAATCAACCAACCAAACAGCCAATCAATCAACCAGTCAACCAATCAATCAACCAACCAGCCAACCAATCAATCAACCAAACAGCCAACCAATCAATCAACCAACCAGCCAGCCAATCAATCGTAAATGAGCAGCTTACTACGATTCTTAACAAACGCCAGTAACATCCCGGCTTCGTCGCCAGTAAATCCAAAGTCATTCACCAAGGAAATTTCATCCAAAATATTAAGTAACAAATCACCATTAATCTTTTCATCCATAAATTTTTCCAAGCATTTCCTCCTCTCGTCAAATCCCATTATCTTCAGGAGGTGGATAATTTCGATCGTTGATACCTCATTCCAGCTGATGTTGATTGGGATATCTTTTAAAGGTTTTGTATGCTGTTAAGTTTGCTTTTTGTTGTTGCTGTGTTGTTGGTTGTTGTGGTTGTGGCTGTTGTTGTTGTTTTAGTGTTTTTGGTAACCTTGGCGTTTTTGTTGGAGAATTAATGTTGTTGTTGATGTTATCTTGATTGTTGGAATTATTGTTGTTGCTGATGTTGTTGTTGTTGATGTTGTTGTTGTTGTTGATGTTGTTGTTGATGTTGTTGTTGTTGTTGATGTTGTTGTTTTGATTACCATCATGGCTGTTATTTCTCTTGTAAGCTGATGGTGATGACGACAACGATGATGACGATCTTGAAATTCTTGTAAAGATTATTGGATGAGTCGGTGAAGATGATGATGGTAATAATGATGATGGTGGTGGTGATTTAAACGATGGCGATGATGATAATAGTGATTTAGATGATGATGATGAAGAAGATGATGATGAAGAAGAAGATGATGATGATGACGAAGATGACCATGATATTGGTGGTGTAGGTGCCTTGGTTAAATAAGATGGTGGTGATGATGATGAAAATGATGAAGATGATGATGATGATGATGTTTGAGGTAACAATGATGAAGACGACGACGACGATGATGGTGGTGATGAGGGTGACGTTGCCTGTGGGGAAACTGGCATTGCGATAGAGTACGTAGAATTTGTGCTTGGGAACAGAGGAGCCGGCTTTCTTGTTGATATTGTCCTCTTGTCGTCGTTGCTGCTGCTGCTGCTGTGGTTGCTGAGGCCGCTGCTGAGGCTGTTGCTGAGACTGCTGTGGCTGTTGCTGGTTGCCTTTAGACAACGTTGAGGTCTTTTGAATGCAAAATTCATTTATTTTAATTAAGTCACCGCTCCAACTCAACACCAGATTAAAAATTTAACTAATTAATTAACTAATTACTAATTAATTAATTAATTAATTAACGAACGAATAAATGAATGCACGGATCAATGAATGAATAAATGAATGAATTAATGGAGGTATGGATAGATGATAAATAAATATAATATTAAATAATTAATAAAATTATTCATCCGTGACAACCTCGGTGGTGGAAGTTTCATTTTCGTTGCAGTTTCTAAATTTGTCTGACTGGCTGATGGGTTTGCAACTTTTGAGCACACAACTGCTATTGGCTCTCTATATTCTGGTGTATTTGTTTTGTTGTTGTTGTTTTTGATGATGTTGTTGTTGATGTTGTTGTATTTGTTAATGTCAATTTCTTCGTAAACATGGTTGATGGTGTTGTTATTATAGTCGATTTCGTTGTTGTTTTGTTGTCGAGATGATGTTACGTTGTTATTGTTGTGGTTGTTGTTATTGGTGCTGTTGTTGTTGACGTTACTACTGTTTTTGTCGTTGATGTTACTAAAGCTGTTGCTTTTAACATTATTATTAATGTTGTTGTTGTTGTTAATATAGCTGATAATTTTGTTATTGTTAATGTTGTTGTTACGGATGTTGTTGCTGTGGATGTTTTGTTTGTTGTTGTTGTTGCTGTTAAAGTTAAGTCTGTTGCCGTTGTTGTAATGGATGTTGTTGATATTTTGGTTGTTGTTGATGATGTTTTGGTTGTTGATGTTGTTACGGATGTTGTCGTTGTTGATGTTAACATCATCATCAGGAAGAGGGGGTGGGGTCTTCAGCCTACGTCTGCCCCCCTTGGATTTGCCCGCGAAAGAGTAATTGATAGGGAAGCACGGAAGTTGGACGGATCTGCCATCGAAGGAGTACTCAAATCTTCCCTGTTGCTGGCGTCCCATTCCGTGTTGCTGGCGTTTTGTTTGATCCGAAGTTGAGAGGATGCTTTTAGGGGGAATCGGGGGTGCTTTTCCTTCCGGCGGTACCATGTCGACGTCTGTGCGTGTGCGTGTGTGTGTGCGTGTGTGTGTGCGTTCGTGTGATGTGTTTGTGAGTCTATTTTTATCTGGTGTGCAAGTGTTTTTTATGTTTGTGTGTGACCATGATAATAATAATAATAGTAATAATGATAATAATAATAATAACAATAACAATGATAATAATAATAAAAGTAATAATAATAATAATAATAATAATAAATAGTAATAAATAGTAATAATAATAATGATAGTAATCAGTAATTACTTAATTCTTCGTGTAATTTGACGTAGTTAGTATTGACCGCACCAACTCCAGCTCTGCCCACCCTGATGTACTCGTAATGCTGGTAGCCATTTACGTTGTACTGGTACTTCTCGAATAATATTATTTCTAAAAGTATTTTATTATTATTATTATTATAATTATTATTATTATTGTTATTATTATTATTATTAGTGTACACATACACACTTACACACATACACACTTACACGCAAACACACAGGCAGGCACAGAAACACACACACACACACACACACACACACACACACACACACACACACATACCTTTACACAATTCAGTATACTGTTGGAAAATTTTTCAAACAATACTCTCTCTCGCACACACACATACACAGCAACACACACACACACACACATACAAACACACACACAAACACACACACACACCTTCACACAGTTCAGTACTATTGTGTACAAAAGTTTCAACCAGACTGGCGAGCTTCCTCATCCAAACGAGATACTCCTCTTTAGTGCCGCAGACAAAACCCTCGGCTTTTGACACATTTATATTCATGTAGTCTGGTATTGCGGTACTTATCGTGTCTATACCGGCTAGAATTATAATAATTATAGTATTATTAATTATAATAATTATGGTATTAATAATTATAATAATTATAATTATAACTTTTATTACGATCTAATAGTATAATAATAAATCTAATTATAGTTGAAGTAATAATAATATTGGCATTTGCATTATTTCGAAGTTTAAGTGAACGAACAAATCAACAAACCAACAAACATACAAACTAACAAACATACAAACAAACTAACATACAAACATACAAACCAACATACACAAAAATCAACAAACATACAATCCAACAAGATACAAACCAACAAACATACAAACAAACATACAATCCAACAAACATACAATCCAACAAACATACAAACCAGCAAACATACAAATCAACGAACAAACAAACCAACAACAAACACACCTTCGCTAATAGCATGAGTCAGTGCGTAGCTCAAGTTAAAGACATCCATCAACTCCAGAACTCCCAACTTTTCCTTCCCGTGGATCCTGGCGTCGATGTTGTAGGTCAGATCCATGTTTCCCTCTGCGATAATCCACTTCCGGTTTACATCTTTCTGCCACTCTTCATGGATTTGGAATAATGTTTGTGGTTTAGATCCTGTTTGTGGTTTAGTTTGGGATAAAATTATTTACGGTATATACACATACGCACACACACACAAACGCCACACACACACACACACATACAAGCATTGCGGTTTTGTTTCACATCAAATAATTTGATATTTTATAAAGATTTATTCATTTGTTATATTCTTTCGTTCATCTGTTCGTCCAATTGTTTGCTCTGTGTGGCGCGTGTGTATGTGTGTGTGTGGTGTGTAACGCGCGTGTGTGTGTGTGGCGCGTGTGTTTGTGTGTGTGGCGCGGCTCAAATATCATGTAGTGGTAACGGGGTGTGTTGAAGAAGTCTCAAATGGCTACTAATTATAATTTATAGATGATGATGACGGTTTTAATTAGGATGGCTGACGCTACTGGAGCGATGATGATGATGATAAAAATAACATACATACACGCACACATACACACACAAACAAACACACAAACGTTAACATAGATAAAAGTATGAATAATTATTTTTCAATAAAATTAAAACCCAGACTGTTGCAGTGGCGTATCGAAGGGTGGGGCACGGCAAGGAGAGAAGCTGTAGCCCCCAAACGCCGAAGCGTACGGGGACTTAAATGGACACAAACACGTGGAAACTTTAAAAATATATTCCCGCTTATTCTTAAAAGTTTTTTTAATGTTAGAAATAATATGAAAAACCCGAATGAATGGATGTGTAGACGAATGAATGAATGAATGAGTGAATGAGTGAGTGAATGAATGAGTGAGTGAATAGATAAATGAACGAATTAATAAATAAATGAATAAACGAATGAACGAAGGAATTAAAACTAACAGAACAGTACTTAAAGCCAACTCAGCAATAGGCCAAACTGACAAGTAGCTATTTTTAAATTAGTCTCTATTAACAGTTCGTACACGGAATAAAAAATCTATTGGTAAATAAGGGTAGTTAGGGTGTCGGCAGGGCTTGCCACTTGGGGGCCTGCCACTCCCTGGACGCCACTGGATTATCACTGTTACTTGTAGCCATGTTGGGGTCAGGCTTGTCAAGGTGGAAGAACTTGACAGGGCAGCTCAAAGGAATGCTGAATGTCCTTCCCTGACTGTCTTTCGTTATCAAGCGCTTTTGTTTCTCAAAGTTGTATATGTAAAACAACTGAAGTGAATGAATGAATGAATGAATGAATGAATGAATGAATGAATGAACGAATGAATGAAAGAGTGAATGAATAAATAAAATTACTTGATTCATTCATTGATGGATACATATATTTATTTATCCATTCATTCATCCATCCATTCATTCATTCATCCATTCATCCATTTATTCATTCAACCACATCTGTAGCATTTTCTTATACAGGCTTGACTATTTAAATTTTCAGCGAATGAGGAGATATTATAATATAAAAATATTTTGGCTATTTTAGTCTAAAACACACACACACATCTACGCTAATTAAATATATCGAAAAATAGCAATATCTCAATATCGGTTAGTATTTGGTACAGGCGATCAACCTCAACTCGGAACTGATTATTTATTATCACCGAAACCCAGTAGATGCATCGGTAATTAGCCCAACTGACCAACCAGCAAACTAATTAACCGACCATTTAAGCACCACCAATCGACCAAAAAACTACACAAAACTGCCTACTAATCAACCAATCAACCAACCAATCAATCAATCAACGAAACAACCAATCAATCAATCAACCGATCAATCAAATAATCAATCAATCAACCAATCAATCAACGAAACAACCAATCAATCAATCAACCGATCAATCAATTAATCAATCAATCAACAAAGCAACCAACCAACCAATCAATCAACCAACCAACCAACCAATTAACCAATCAACCGACCAATTAATTAATCAACCAACCAACCGACCAATCAGCTAACCTCGTCGGAGCCGATTTGATTGTTATCGACACCGAAGTATCCCTCAGTGACGAGAACGATGGCAGGAAGGGTGCTACTCCTTTGGGAGCAAAACTTCACCAGTTCCTCATCCTCTTTCGACCAGGCAAATACTTCCTGATAAGATCGCTCCGTGGTCATGCTAATAATGATGCGACGGTAATGATGGTGTTGTTGTGTTGTTGTTGATGATGACGTTGTTGTGTTGATGATGATGATGTTGTGTTGTTGATGATGATGATGTTGTTGTGTTGTTGATGATGATGTTGGAAAGATGTTGCTAATGAAGATGATGTTGTTGTAACGATGATGTTATTATTATTGTCGCTAGTAGTAGTAGTAGTAGTAGTAGTAGTAATAGTAGTAGTAGTAGTAGCAGTAGTAGTAGTAGTAGTAGTAGTAATAGTAGCAGTAGTAGTAATAGCAGTAGTAGTAGTAGTAACCAAAAGAACTCGCTGAGTGTTATTTTAATCGAAACATATTTGAAAATAACTAAAAAGCACCTATTGTTATTTTATTAAATGGGCTATATATATATATATATATATATATATATACATATATATATATATATATGTAATATAAATGATGATGATGACGACGACGACGATGATGAATAATGTATGTCTTGCAATTGAACCCTATATTATAATATAACGAGCAAAAAACATTGACGATTTATATATATATATATATTTTTACAATATTCTATAATGGTCTATTACCAACAATATATATATATATATATATATATATATATATATATAAAGAGAAAGAGAGAGAGGGAGAGGAAAAAAAAGAAAGAGAAAGAGAGAGAGACAGAGACAGGACGATGACAATGATGATGATGAAACTTATACAGTGACACTAACTAAAATGATGTTATTCAATTAACTGATAGGCATCATTGAACTGAAATGGTGTTAATTATTACAGTTTTACATAAATATTTTCAATCTTAAAAATTGCAAAAGTTTAGTTAAGCTTTTTCAGGTTCCCACAGAGAAAGGTGATTATTGCGTCTTGAAGCATTACAAGTAGGGAGCGTTATTGTTTTGCTGTTCGCTAATGTCGTAGATGTTTGTGAGTGTGTGTTGGTGTGTGTATTTTTATGCATTTGTGTACGTACTAGAATAAATTTTATGAACGTTTACATTTGCATGCCTAGCAGATATTTGTTTGCTCATGTCTTAACTTCCTAATAATAATTATTGTACCTACATGAAAAGATATATGTAAATGTGTGTTTGTGTGTGTATTTATGTGTGTTGTGTGTGTGTATTTGTGTGTGTATGTGTGTGTGTGTAAATGTGTGTGTGTGTACACGCACAAGTATATGCAGCTAGCTAGTTTAAGTAACGTCTTTTGTTGCATTTCAAAAGATTGCTTCTTTATTTGACTTGTTCATTTATTTCCTCTTACTCTTCTTCTTATTATACTAAAATTATTATTAGTTGTAGTAGTAATTTTTGTAGCAGCAGCAGTAGTAGCAGAAACAGCAGCAGCAGTAGTAGCAGCAGCAGTAGCAGCAGTAGTAATAGCGGTATATAGTTTTTACAAATTCTTCTATAAACAGCCTTCACCCATAAAGTAAGATTGAATCACGACAAACGACCTGCATGTCCTTAAATATTATATTTATATAAAAACAATTAAAAACATTATATTTATATCAATATAATAATAACAATAATAATAATAAAATCGCCATAATAATAATAATAATTAAATAATAATTTTATTAACAATGAAAACACATTAAAATAAGATAAAACAGACAGACACAAGTAACACTCTTGAACAGATGATGGCTAAACAAAATCCATGAAATTCCTAATTAGCATAATTTATTCAAAAACGCCTAACATACATAATTTATGCTAAGTTGATTAGGACAAATATTTGGTGACGTCATTTGTAATGCTAAATAACACAACGTAAAGTGATTAACTAAAAATATTTATGTCATCTTTAGAAGATAATTTGATAACAAATAAACTTTAAAAAATGATATGATCTGTGCGTGTGTCTGTGTGTTTGTTTGTGTGTGTGTGTGTGCGTGTGTGAAGATAAAACATAAGAATAAAAAAGTTGCTGAACAAAATTACATATTATATATATATATATGTGTGTGTGCGTGTGTGTAATAAACTTTATTTTGCTGTGTATGCATATACACGAATATATATACATAATTTTAAAAAGTAATTAAATAGTTAATCCAGTATTTAGCTAATTAAATTGTCTGAAATAACAACATAATACAGGGAAAAATACACAAATGTATAAATATACAGAAACGTATGTATATATATATATATATATATATATATATATATATATATATATATATATATATATATATATATTGCAAAAAATAGAAGCTTTTTATTAAACATATGTGTAGTTAAAAAACAGTTTGATGAACGACAGATTGCTTATTAATATAGAAAGGAGGAAATATGATTGACCGAAAGAAATAAAAATGAGTGAATGAGTTGACTAACTAACGAATGAATGAATGAATGAATGAATATAAATTGATAGACGGAAAAAAATTAAAAACACGAATAAACATTTATAGATCAAAGACAAATAATACAAAACAACCATCAAATGATCTGCATCCATTCATGCATTTATTCATTCATCAATTCATTCATTCGTTCGTTCATTTATTCATTCATTCATCCATCCATCCATTCATTCATTCATTATCCCATATATTTATTC